CCCCACACACACACACACACACCCTAATGTGCGCCCCTGGGCGACGGTAATATAAACAAGGTCAAGGTTTTATCGAAAGCGATTGACTGTTAGATTTCCTTTACTATTTTATAACTAAATAATGTTATTTCCTACAAATTTAGCTTTATTGTAGCCTTATTGAAAGTATAAAAAAAAACATGGAAACGGTGAATTACTACAGATTGAAAATAATTGTTAAACTACGATTGAAATTATCGACGTAGAATACTATTTCGTTGTAATTTCAATAGTATTAATGAGAATTTTGTTTGTTATTTTTAATATATTTCATGTTATTTACAAAATTTACTGTAGTTTTGAAGTTTTGCACACAATATAATCAATGCGAGCACAATAACTCCACTTCAGTTTGAGTATTATATTTAAATTTAGTATTTTGATAGCGTGCATGGCCTTTCACGCTATATAATATTACGCCTGATAAATAATCAGTGCGAGCACAGCGGCTCCAAAATCACAACAAAATAACAGAATATAAAGTAAATTAAAACAGCAAAGCTTTACCTACCTCGATGTATTTTTCTAAGGCGCTCGATTATGTAAATTTTCTGCGAATCTTTGCATTTGCTCGACGAAAACCATGGAAGAAAACGTGCACACGATTCAAAATTTATAAATATTATGCTTATTGTTATTATGCTCGTCCCACGTGATCTGCCGCAAGTTTCACCACCACCAACGGACACGAATTTTAAGCTATATGATAGTTGCATGCCATATATGGGCATGCAACAAAAATCAACTTATCCTCCTCAAACGATACCTTTACCTAAGGTTATTGACAAGTTTGTCTTTAGAGTGTCCTTGTTTCAAATTTACTTCATTTGACATCCAAAAAACTATTCCTATCCATTGCTGAGGACAACAAGCAATATATACTGATAGTACGTTAATTTCAATTTTTGCTTCAACCAGATAAAATCCAAGAACGTTTGATCAAACAATTTCACTACACTGCGTGGCCAGATCATGGAGTACCAAGTAGTCCTAGCTCTCTGCTGAACTTTGTACGCAAGTCATCTGCTGCAAACCCGCCAAATGCTGGACCGATGGTGAGTGCAACCTGCTGGGGAATGTATGTAACCAACTCAATTGGCATTGTGTGCATGGTAATCATACCCAGGTGGCCAATTCAATTAAATAAAGGCTTTTTTAAGAAGAGTTAGGCAAACTTGGAAACATTGCTTCATGCAGGAACATGTGATTTTTCCTCAACTGTTTAACTATTTGCCAACCTGAAATTCAGAAACTTTTTGTTTCACAAGAGTGATTTTTGTCTCGCAAACAATGTTTGCTTCGTTTTCAACTTTCTGTCTGTGTAAATTCATGCCACATCTAGTATTCAAAATATCGCAAGTAATTTAATCTACATGCAAGTATTACTGACAATTGTTTCCTGGTTTGACAAGCATGCTAGAGAGAAAAAAGTTTCCGCAAAAATGTTTTATGCTCTGCCCTTCGCTTTACAATAAGTTATTAGATTTAGTAAGCTTGCAGGGGACTTGGAAAAACAGCATTATATAGCCACAAAGCTATGTTGGTCAATGAAACTGCTCGTCTTCCAAAATAAACTGGAAATTGCAGTAATGTGCATCAATGAAAACTTGATAGTCAATTTGTATTGATTTTCGTTTCTTTTCCGCAGGTTGTCCATTGCAGTGCAGGTGTGGGTCGTACTGGAACCTACATAGTAATTGACACCCAGTTGGAACGTATTGCCAAACGTAAGACTGTTGATGTCTTCGGGAACGTCCAGAAATTGCGAAACCAACGTTTGCTGATGGTCCAGGTGGAAGACCAGTATATATTTATTCATAGTGTATTACTGGAAGCCATTAATAGTGGTGACACAGAGATACAGGTTGAAGATTTCCCTGAACAAATGAGAGAAATCATGGATGTGAATCCTGAAACAGGTAAACGATTTGTGTGGAAAAGCCTGGTGAGCGTGATGTAATAAACTGTCGATATATTCCTACAGTCAGTAAAGACTGATTCGTAAACGGTACACAAAACATGGGATAGATCTAGACTATATTTCACGTCGTCGTTCATGAGTTGCATGTCACGGCATTTACTACCAAATGGAAGCCAAGCTTATTTATAATATGAACAATTTGGCCTGTAGAATGCACCACGATCATTGATTGCTCGATCTTACATTGATAAATTATATAAAAAAATGATATCGTTTGTATGCTGGGGCGTAAAAAAATACCTGTGGTTCCGGTTCTCGACCGACCCTATTTTTTTTCTGCCGACCCTATTATTTTTTCAACGCAATTGACCGTGCGACCCTATTTTCTCCGGGTGGTTGCAGGCTGCTTCCAAAATGGTGTCTGTTGTCACACTAATTATTGAAATAACCATGAAAAAAATATTCAAAAAAAAAATTATTTCCGACCTACCGACCCTAATTTTTTCGCGATATGAAACCGGAACTACAGAGTTTTTTTACGCCTGGTGAAGATCCGGGCTTACGCATTGAGAATTTTGCAGAATGAAGAACTTGGGCGCGGTATTTTCCACAAAAGCAAATCAATACATTGTCTTTTCATCAACATTTCATTCAAGTAGCTCCATTTAAAATTTAAGCGTGCCGTGCCCAAAATGACTGTCTTGTAAACGGGCCTTTAATGTTCGGAGCACTCTGGGTTTTTCTTCTAATAGAATGATACAAAACACGGTCGCATCATTGCTCGGAACTGTTTCGATTCTTTTCGCAAAACATTTATTTGATTATTACAATCAGTATGACCAAATGTAAATTTGGTCTAACGTTTTCTCCGGTCAAAAAATAGCAATCATTTCAGTCTTGAACAAATAGAATAACCAAAGATTGCGTCGGATCATCCCGCAAAGAATATACAATTATTACATGTAAAATAGTCTGAACTATACGGTACAGTGGTGTTTGGCGTAAAGTATTAGTATTGACTTGATTTATCTAAAGGGGGCCTGCGTATGAAACATTGCTACAGTATATCGACCAGTTTCAACAGGTAATCTATGTGCTGAAATTCTGAGCTTTGTAACAGCTTGACGATGTTTAACAATACTATAATTTCAGAAATATAATTTCAAATAATACACTACAATAATATTGTTATAATATTAGTATTGTAATAATACATTTTATTATACATTTAATATGTATTCTCGTTTCTAATTGGTCAGAAAGCACCGGCTAATTTTCAGTATTCGGCATTTATTACGTATTTTCCGCCGATGACGTCATCAGCGTCCAATAATTGTTTTTTTGGATCGAACTTGCATCCAAAAAAAAAATTATTGGACTCTCTCGTGCCCAAACCCTTGCGCGGCCAAAAGCTTGAACCTATAAGCGCGCGAAAAAAACAAACAAACAATGGCCTACAGCAGATTTGCTTCGCTGAATGAAAGTGAACTCTCCAAATTATTGGCAGATAAGGATAGTGAAAGCACGAAAAAAGCCACAAAGGGGTAAATAGAAGTAGAAATAGAATATTTAGCTGACCTTTGACTTTGTGCAAGGTGTTTGATATTCAAATTGTACTTTTCCTACCTCATGAACAGGAATCGTTTTATACGTTTCTCATGTCTTTAAATGTATAATAAAACAATTATTGGATTCGGCTTTCGCATGATATCAAGAATTATTCAGACCTCGGTCTATGTTATCCGCCTCAGCTTCGCTTCGGCAGATAACATTGACCTCGGTCTGAATAATTCTTGATATCATGCTCAGCCTCATCCAATAATTGCTTAATAATTACATTTACTCATCAGGAGTGCCTCGAGTGGAAGAAGAATTTCAACGTCTTGGTAGAAGTGTCGTTCCGCCAGCGCTGTTCAAAGCGGCCAATATGAACTGTAACAAACAGAAGAATAGATATGCAAATGTTCTCCCTTACGACGAATCCCGAGTGAAGTTATCTCTAATTCCTGGTGTTGAAGGCTCGGATTACATCAATGCTAACTACGTCGATGGCTATATGAAGAAGAAAGCGTTCATTGCGACACAAGCTCCAATTCCTGATACAATCGCCGATTTCTGGAGAATGGTTTGGCAAGAATGTTCTCTAACAATCGTGATGTTATCAAATGAGATGGAAAGTGGACGGGTAAGTTTGACAGTCCTCATTCTGTTTTGCTGATGTATCACATTGCTGATTATGCTGAAAAAATAAAAATGGTGGCCGTGTAAACACGGAGTGATAGCTTATACTTGTAAATTTTGAGATGTTTCGGTAGTTTTTATTGAAATTTTTCAGCATAATCAGCAATTTTATACCTTACTTCCCATCATCCCCTGCAAGCATAAACTAAAAGCTGGAATTGCCTATTGCATTGTAATTATTTTCCGTTTATCGTTTTGACCTCCTTCTGACATTGCTTTAGATCAAAGTTCACAGATACTGGCCCAATAAAGCTCCTGCAGTAATCGGAGATCTCATGGTCGAGCTCATGAGTGAACAGAAATTTGAGGAATATATGTTGAGGGAATTCAAGCTGACTAACACAAAGGTAAATCTGTGAAATAAACTTTTGTTAAATAAACATATTGTGAAATAAACCTATCCTGGAAACATGTATAACAAGCGCTGCATCCGAAACACTAAGAATTTAAAGAGCGCCGTGGCGCTTAAACGAGTAAATATACAGCATGTTAACACATAACGTTGAAGCAGCAGACTATATTTGAGGCCTTATCCTAACTTGTTAGTGCCCATATGTAAAACTGAACGTTTTTAAACTCCTTGCAATCTGCTCGTGTTTATAATTATAATAATATACATAAAGATATTACTCGACTGTGATTGGTTGATTTCAGTGCAGTTAATCCCAAACAGCAGTGCAATTTTCTGTAATGACAGTGCAATTTTCTGTAATCGCAATGCAATTTTTTGTAATCACAGTGCAATTTTCTGTAATCACAGTGCAAAAATCTGTAACAAACTGATCTGATTGGTGGAAAAACATTGTGATGATTAAATCAACCAATCAGTTTAAGGCAGTTTAGTTTTAAAGAAGTAACGGCACAGAATAGGAAGGTATAGCAGAAGCGTAACTCAAGCAAGTATTTGTCCGCGTTTTTACAAGCGATTCGTCATCAATCATGCCATCCTGGCTAGTACAACCGGCACTTTGTACCTACCAAAACCTGATAAAAACTTCCGGTTGTACTAGCCAGGATGACGTGGATTGGCGTGAGCGAGTTAAAATTTTCGTGGACGTCAAACAATAAGGGAAACGACTAGAGTTACGCTTCTGCTATAACTTCCTATTCTGTGGTAACGGTCACAGATTGCCTCAAAACAAAACAACATGGCGCCGCGCTACACAAAGTAAAAGTTGCCTTCGCGTGGAAAATATGGCTTTTATCTTTATTTTTAAATGGAAAAGCATTTACCTTAAACAAGACTAACAAAAAATACACAGTTGAGTGGAATTTTCAAGCTGTTAGCGTTGTATAATGTGATATAACAAAGCCAGAAAAACTTTGCTAGTGGAATGTTCGCTATAAACGCGTAAGTTAAAACTACAATTGTCTCGAACATTTTTATGTAAATTATTAATAAGTAATAGCATGGTTTCTCGTGAAATTTGGATAAACATGCACTCGTGAGTTTTTCAAAGACCTCAAATAGCACTCGTCCTTCGGACTCGTGCTATTTTGAGGTCTTTGAAAAACTCACTCGTGCATGTTATATCCAAATTGCACTCGAAACCATGCTATTACCTATACTAATAAGTAACCATCAGTTGTTATAGTACTCTTTATCTAATTGCATAATATTTTTACTTGTAATTATAGCACATACTTAATATTTTATTCTCATACTATGTAATTCCAAAGCAATTCAGTTGTTACTGCTATTTTGGAAATTTGTAATTAAATCTTTATGGAGGTTCCTCGGCAAAGCATGCATGCGCACTGCTTTATGCAATTGTGGACTTGTTTTTTCTTTTTGATTTGTCATAGCAATTCAGAAATTTAGACACTCGCTGTAGCATATACAGTGCATATTTTCTGCATATTTTCTGCATTTGTACAAAATAAAGAATATTTAGGTGATAGTGGGAGGAAAGTAAGGTTATCTCCAGTAGCTAAGCTAGGGACGTTTATTGTAACAGGGACGTTTATTGTAACAGGGACGTTTATTGTAACAGGGACGTTTATTATAACAGGGACGTTTATTGTAACAGGGACGTTTATTGTAACAGGGACGTTTATTGTAACAGGGACGTTTATTGTAACAGGGACGTTTATTGTAACAGGGACGTTTATTATAACAGGGACGTTTATTATAACAGGGACGTTTATTTTAACAGGGACGTTTATTGTAACAGGGACGTTTATTATAACAGGGACGTTTATTGTAACAGGGACGTTTATTGTAACAGGGACGTTTATTGTAACAGAGCGTCATTAGGAGTCACGTAGATATGTAGCCTGCAAATACTGCTAGTAAGATCTACAAACAGTTGTGTTTTGTTGATTTAGGAGAAAGCATCTCACGTGATCCGTCAGTATCACTACAACTGCTGGCCAGATGTTGGTTCGCCTTCGTCTGGTGCTGGTATGATTGATCTGATTGGTCAGGTCCAGAGGTGGCAACAACAATCAGGAAACAAGATTGTCACTGTACATTGCAGGTATTCATCATTTATGACGTCTACCAGAAGGTTATGTTTTCATCCGCGTTTGTATGTGTCTCTGTCTTTTTGTCAGCACGATTACTGAAAAACTACCAAACGTATTAATACAAACGTGTATGGGACTAATGTACATTACCCAAGGACAAATTGATTAAATTTCGGTGGAATTTGGTCCTGTGGATAAAAATTGGATGCGAAATTAGTCTCAAACGTTTGTCTTGCTTTGCCAAGCAAAGTAAACCGAATGCGTAATTAACCTATTGTACAATTTATGCTTGACACATAAATTACGTGATGTTTCCACAAACAAATGTATTATAAGTTTTATCGCCATGCAAAATGCAAACCTACAAAAAACTTATTACATAAATTAATTCGCTGGCGGAGGTAATATGCTGTCTTCGAGTGCCCTCTAGTTAGTAATTTCTTTGTTTTGCTTGTACAAGCTGTTAAAGTGCCAACTAGAAGTCTGTTGGTTACTGGTTAAAACTCCGTTTTGCACTGAAGTGTAATCACAAAACGTCCAGTTGGGCATTATTATCGTGGTCAGAGTAATTACTCGTGCTAGTAAATACTGTACATCAGTTCATTTTTATCAACAAAGTACAAAACTCAAATTAGTAAAATTAGCAAAATGTGCACACCACTCATATTCTGTTCATATGAATATAGCATTGCTTTAAAAACTTGTTTTGATAAAAAATCACGCCTGAGCCGGTTATAGACCAGCATGCTATGACCGAATTACTGTGAAAACTGGATGTGTGGTGCTCGAGATATCTTCTTCCTTATTATCCAGCTACTAGCAAAAAATAACTATGAGGAAGTATTATTTTTGTGAGAATATGATTATAAGGTTTCCTCATACTGTATTGCATTTATTGCAATGCCACTAAATCTAAAATTATATCAAATTTATGTCATCATATTGCTGACATATCCAAAGATATACAAACAGATTATTGTCATTTGCAAGGTCAGTGTCATATGAGAGGTCATTAAGTTGAATTTTTCAGCGACGTACTGTTTCCAGTTAAATAGCCCTATTGGGACAATTTTTACATAAAAGATGGTTACACTTTTTCAAACAAATTTCTTTTCAATAAATAACTTGTATACATAATGCAATCATGTATTGATAGACACTGTGTGCATGGTTCAAGGGCGTACCAGTAAAAGATATCTGAACTTCTTACTCTTAATTTTTAGGTGTCTATATTTACACAATTTTAATAAATATGCAATTAATGTTCTCAATGTTTCTCAATCGTTTCTTCTTCTTTCCATCTTAGTGCTGGTGTTGGTCGTACTGGTGTGTTCTGTGCTCTATCCAACCTCATTGAACGCTTGAAAACTGAACACGTAATTGATGTGTTTCAAACTGTGAAAATGTTACGCCAGAAGAGACCAGCCATGGTCCAAACCAAGGTATGTTCACTTTTTAATATGTAGTCAAATTTTGATTATTCAGTTTAGTGAATTATTCGTTTTTGGTGGCTCCACATTTCTCCACTTATGTCATAGTTAAAGATCAGTTACAGATCATCAGTTGAAATCAGTGGTTTTCTTCGAAAGATTGCTCGTTTTAATAGAGTGCAACCTCGCCAACAACCGCTACTGTGATGTTAAAACTCCATATAAATCATATCTTTTTTTATGAAGTTTTCTGATTTCGAAATAATTATATATGCCATTATTACAATAGGCGTCGTTTTCAGTGGCGTAGGAACCGGGCAAGCATAGGCGTCACATGCCCCCGCCGGCCTAGTGCCCTTTTCCAATACCCATTTCAATACTTGAAAGCCAAAATATCCGGCATATTAAAACGTCATTTTCGCCATAGCAACGGCAGTTGTATAACTTTTAAACTAGTAAAAATTGTCCAAGAATACGGATCGCAGTTGTAAATTCTCCATTAAAAACCCCTGTATTGAGCCATCTTAAGGGAACTTCTTCTAACCTCCCAATTTTATTTCATAAAATGCTTTCTCTTAGCATATTGAACTATTATGAATTTATGACAATTTGACGCAAAACTTTTTACGTTAGGTAGATGTGATTATTCATAATAATTTTATTGGATCGGCAGAATTCTTTTAAAATTGTCAAAGTAATTCGATATACTAAGAGAAATCATTTTATGAACACCGTCGATTTCGAGTTAAATTTACTTTAGAGCCAAAATATCCGCCATTTTGAAACGTCATTGTTGCCATAGCGCCTGTAGTTCTGTAACTTTTGTGCAAAAATTCAAACTCTTTAAATGTTGTTTTACATAAATAGGGCACTCTTTGTTTTTAACAAGTAATAATTGTGCAAAAATACGGACTCCGAGCCAAATCGTAATTTTGTTTTAAAACTATATCAAGCCACCTTCAGATATAGTGCGCCCCTCCACCTACGTCCCTCAATGTTCGTTTTTGTCACAAACGTTATGGGAAAACAAATTGTAATACTTCACTTTTAACAAGTTACGAACGCGATGATGTGCAGCTATATACAATCTTTTAAAGTTTATTTCATGGCTCCACTATTAAAAAAAGTAAAAGAAAGTTTACATTGCCCGTATCTGCCGCCATATTGATTTTTATCGTTGCCTGGCTCTACAGTAGTGGCACTGCTTTAGGCCATTTATTTTTTTTTTCATCTTTATTAATTTAATGATGGGGTTACAGTTTTGCTAAGCTAATGCCTGTATTCTAAAAGCTCACTCACACTCAATGAGTGGAGGTTCGATGAGTGGAGGGTGAGTAGTCACATGGTAAGGTACGATACTAACCCTCCAACTTTTCAAAAACAGCAATGACACTCGAGAGAAGCTCAGATTAAACTTCCACTCATTGAGTGCGAGTGTACTTTTAGAATGCGGGCGTTACAGTATTAATAAATTGTAGTTGAAAATTACAATTTTTTGCTGCAAGTGTATTTGCTATTGCCTTAGCGACTCATATGTCATTAAAGGAAGATGAACGAAGTTAATTCCTATCTTGTTCGTTTTTCACAGGAACAGTACGAGTTTTGCTATAATACTCTTCAAGAATATTTGGACTCATTCGACCTTTATGCAAATTTTACATAGAGTGTCTTACACAGAACGTAACGTCTATACAATGAAGAATTTCAGTGGGAAAAATTTAATTTTCAATGGGAAAAATTTATATGTTAATTAATAGGAAATAACTTACCCATATAAAACAAAGCTATTTAGATTCTAAACATGAATGATACCATACTTAAAATCAAATTTATAAAACTGTTATACAAAGCAATTTAGATTCTAAACATGGAAGATACCATACTTAAAAACAAATTTATAAAACTGTTATACAAAGCAATTTAGATTCTAAAAATGAAGATAGGCCTATCATACTTAAAAACAAATTTATAAAACTGTTCTAATGTAGACTGATTTTGTAGCCATTCATATACAGCATTGTTTAAATTTGTAATTTTTACGTAATTTATTTTTCATACTTCAAATTTCAATAAAACGTAATTATTTGTATTTTGAAATGAGTGGTTTATATATATATATGTGTATTTCTCAAACCAACATGCATAAAGTATTGTGTATGTCAATAGCAAGTATTTGAGGCTGTGGATTGTTTCTTTACATTTTTTATTATTATATTTAATTTGGCAAGACATTTTACTGCAGTCATATCAACATATGCCGTTCAGGAGTTCAAAATTTCCCCCTTTTAACAATTTATATGTTTTAAAATAAAACCGCAATTTAAGTGTTAAGATATTCCTGAAATCGTTAAATTCGATGTCGTGACAAACGAATCCGGTACCTAAATATAGTTAAGTAACTGGGCCGGGCCTAAATATAGTTAAGCCTATACCTTTTCCTCTTTGCCACCAAAACTTCTGTTAATTAAGGCCCTTTGAAACGGACCTAACAATGTTCGTTTCAAATAATGTTTGTTTCTTTCAATTTTGATGTGCAACTTTTGACGATTATACACATGCATGATTATTCAACAGGCTCTCGTTGTTCAACATCGTTTAACATTTTGGACCAACAATGTTGGACTCGTTTGAATGAGGCTTAAAACTGGCCAAAAGTAGACTGTACTGGTAGTACACACAGTTTAAAATCGTCAGACTTTACACCTCAGAGCAGTACAAGATTTCCTGTATTGAGGGATTCTTAAACAATAAAGAAAAGGATCCAGACACAAATTCAAATGAAGAACAGTCCACAGCATGAAACCTAACGAATCGCGGTCCTTATAGAAATTGTAGCTACTGTTTTCTGAAATCTTCAAATAATTATATATTGTGAATGGTGCGCTGGTTACCACGTAAGCTGACACAAGCACAGCAGAAGTTAAAAGAAAATGTCTTTGTTGTGAGATTCTTTTCTGCTTGTTAGAATTTCGTGAGAAATTATCTTCTGCCTTTATTGCTTTGGACTGTCGTCTCAAAGAAAAGAAAGCTCGTGCGTAGATCGTTGGTAGGGCAATAAATAACAAAACACTGCATGCTGTAATGCTTCTAAAGATGATATTTGCCCCGGGTAAATGGTACAAACCGGTCGCCAGTATAGTACAAACTATCCAGTTCGATACAATGATCAGGGCCACCAATTTCTTTGTGACGAGAATTTTGAACTTAATAGGCTGTGTTATGGCCAGTAAATGTTCCACGGATGTAAGAAAAATCGTGACAAACGATATGAATAATGCGTCGAATAAAGCAATTACGATGATAACATGTTGGATGTCGCGAGCACGTTTATTATCAACAAGCAGCGTTTCAAATGCAGGTCGTGCAATGTTGACAACTGCAGCAAAAAGATCGGAGATAATCAAACTGGTAATAAGCATAGCAGAACGGGTTCTCAGACATTTCTTAGGATCTTTCCAGATGACTATCAGTACAAAGCTGTTCACAATGAAGGCAATAACGCAAACAGAGAAATGTGTCCATTCCGGAACAGATCAATATCCAAGTGTTGATGGCATATTGAGTAATACTCTTCTGAATTATCTTTCCTGTTGTAATTGTATGCTGAATATACTTTTCTAGATGACTAAATTATCTCCAAACAATCGTAACTGTTTTAACTGCTTTTAATAGAACAAATGATATGTTGCAGCTGCGTTTTGCTATTCATTAATTTATTTTTAATTATATTCCGTGGTGGGGAGGAACATAATATTAGATAACAAGGCAAGCAAGGTTTTTGAAAACACGCACGTCACAGGCTCCTGCATATGAATACCACCTTAGTGTTGAATGGGATCACAAGTCCGGCCTGAACCTTATACCCAGGCTCTTCCAGCAAGGCGCGTAGTGGAAGAGGTTGATCCGACCTTAATGTATACGTGAAGTTCTTGCTCTAAGTGAACCACCGTAATGCATACCATCATGACGTTTACAGAATATATGGGACCAATCGTTGCTCTTCGCAAATTCGCATATAAAAATAACCAATTAACAATGTATATAAGATATACAGTTTCTCGCCTTCGGCGTGAGTTGCATGTATTACCCAACACGGCCTTTATTCTGGAGAGGCAGCTAGACATATGGCTGGGGGTCATTCGCCGTTTTACATTGGCCGGTTACTACAATATTAAACCAGTATTAAAGTTAAGAGAGGGAGAGAAGAGATATTGAATTATTTTGACTGGGGGGCTGTGCCGAAAGCTCTACCGTCCCCTCCGTCGGAAACTGAATTAGCATTTTCTCGGGAACAGTGTGTTTTCTTCTAGTGCTGTCACTGAAACACTCTTAAATTAAGGATAATTGTATTCTGCTACAAAGGGAATACCGTTTCAGAGACATTGAAAAATTTTCTCGGTATAACCCGAAGGTTGGACAGAGAAAACAATAGGTTTTTTTTCCTGTAAACCCCCCCCCCCCCTCCAATGGGGACCTTTCCCCCTAGTCTTGGAATACTTGGCGCCACCATCAGTGGATGATACATCTCCAGAAGTGCCTAACATAGTTCCAGTGCAGACTTTAAAGGACAGTCATTTTCGGCACGGCACCTAACTCGTCCCCAGTCGTCTCTGTGTTAATAATTTTTCAAGCGCAGGCGGAAGCAGGAAAGGTAGCAAGGGCATGCAGGCGGTGAGCATACGCGCTAGGAGCGGCACGCGCGCTTAAATTTTGGCACGCGGACCCATTTTTTGGGCACGGTACTTCTGAGTTTTGTCGTGTAAACGCATTTTGTTTTTCATGGCTGCGAATGTGGTGTTTTATGAGGGTTACGTTAAAGGAAAATTTGCGTTGCCATTGCTATACATGCATCCGTCCTAATTAAGATACCCAACATTAAAATACGTTATCTGTTCTTAGAACGTCATTTTCGCTGTAAAACAATATACTGAAAATACAATATCTGTTTTTATAAGGCATACAAATAATTGATATGCTTGCCACACCAAATCACCGGTAATTGTATATAGCATCAGTAGAGAAATTACGATAAAGATGTTTTCGCCATGTTGGATGAAACTTGAATTACAAACAAAGAAATCCTTTATCGAATACATCCGACATGGCGGCGATACGTAAAGTGAAAACAACATACATCCAATCAACTAATGGAGTCAAATGAACGTGATTGAAAAATCTTAACACTTGGTCTTGGATTAACGTAACTTTAATTAAATTTCATGCAACGCGTAGCAATGTTGGTTTAGATTCAGAGTTGAATAGTAAGATATATACTCATTTTTCAATATCCATTCCCCGGCCATTATTTCCAGTTCCCACTATTTGTTCCAGTCTGTGAGGTTACACTAAGTCTGCCGCCTTGTGCCGCACAACAGCACAGCACACGAATTCCTGTATTGTGGGATTCTTAAACAGTAAATAAAAGGATCTGTGCACAGATTTAAATTAAGAATAATCCAGAAAATCATTCCCAATTCATCACCGTTTCTGTAAAGATTATAATGAATATCTTTAGAAAATTGTTCATAGTTGTGAAATGCAAATGGAGCACAAGTGACGAGAGAAAACAAAACTATTCCAGCTGATGAAATAAGAAAGTTTTTTTGCTGTAAAATTCTTTTTTGTTTCGACGCAGCATTTCCTGTGGAGCTGTTGTCCATTCCAAAAACTTCCTTTAATTGTCGTTTAAGAGATAAATATGCAAACGTGTAGGCAGTTGGTAATGTTATTAATAGAAGACCGTGGATTGCTGTAATTGCATGAAACACTTGGTGATGTTCTGGTATTGTGTACAACAAAATCGTCAGCGTCATACCAAGTAACCATGTTAATCCTATAGTCCAAGCTATCACTCGTTTTGTTACCATTACTTTGAACTTGAGAGGGCTTGCTATAGCCCCGAGATGTTCCATGGAAATAAGAAATACAGTCATGTATGACACAAGCAGTGCTGCATACCCTAGTACAATCACAGGCTTTTCAAAAGCAGTTGTTGTCTGTCCGTTTCCAAACTCTTGAACAAAATATCGGTAGGCGAAACGTGTTATGTTGAACAGAGCTCCGACGAAATCTGCGATAATCAAATTCGTGATGAAGAATGTAGGACGTGTTCTTAAACATTTTTTTGGGTCTTTCCAAATAACGAACAACAGAAAACTGTTCACGACTAAAGCTGTAACACACAAAAAGGAGAAAAGTGACATTGGAATTATCCATTTGGATAATAAAAGTGAGAAATTATGCCTTGTATCTGTCGTATTCCCTGGACTATTGCTTGCCATGACTTCCAGTTTCTATCTGAAGATCTACCAAGACTGCAGGTGTTTTATTTTAATTTTTGACTTTTTGAAAAGTGTTGAAAATTAATCACACACAACAATGTTTTATATGTCCAAAATGTATTGTATTTTAAAACTAATGTTATTTTTAACTAAACATGTTGAATGACAAGGTTATTTGCCATACATATGAAAGAATGAAATTAGAAATTGAAAAAGAAAAACAGAATGACAGGAAATGATTAATGGATCTAGCGGAATTAACATTGTGGACACATTTGGAAAAACATACATTCGGAATGTTAGTTATTATACCGTAAAATATTGTTAAAGTGAGGTATCACAGCTACAAGTTTGGGAGGAAGCGGAAGTAAAGAGCCTGGCTTGCGAGGTTGTCACAGCAAGAACGGCGGGTCTAAAACACAGGTCGCAGGCTATGGTCACAGGCTGAATTTGGAAGGAAGTATATTTAATATTTTTGCTTGTAATTAACTAGTGTATATATTAGAATATTTTTCATCTTCTTTGGCCGGTTGTTCAAAAGCTGGTTTAGCTTAATCCTTGAAGATTTTTTTCAGAAACCATGTCTGGATAAGATTTTGAAACGAACGAACATGCAGAAATACACAAACCAAACAGCGAGTTAAAATCTAACCAAGGGTCATCGCTTATCCAGATTTGAACAGTCGATCTCTGTTTTATTATTTATTGTCATGACGTGGCATGCAGCGCAGTCTTGACCATTGTGTTTGCGGGGCATTAAATTTCAATTTTCGGCCCAAGGGCTTAATTAAACGCCCTGCGATCCAGAAAACGCAAATTGGGCATACTAAGAGCCCTGGGGACTAGGCTGCCTGCGATCTGAGACCTGCGTTTTAGACCCGCTGCAGCTAGAAACATGAACAGAAAGCATCAACAGATAGAGGCCACAACAATGATAGCATTGATACAACGCAGTAACAATGAATTCCAGGCTCAGTTCATTGATCCATGCAATGTAAGTTTTACATATCAAGGTTCGTTCCATTCTCGTCCCCAGAGCCATTTTCACTCGGTCACTCGTTGAAAATTAGGCTCTGGGTTAAACGACTAAAGGGAGAGATCTGATTGGCTTCTCAGAGAACTACTATTTCGCAGATGTTGAGCAGTTTTCGCTAGGCAAAATTATTCTATCCAAATATGTCAACACAAATACTTCGTTTCTTCGTAATACTTCTCGGTGAAAATTGAAAGTGTCCCAAGTGCGCTTTAGAAACTACTGCAAGTTTTTTTGCACTTCCGGTTCCGTGTGTCCGACTATCCCAGGGCCTATGAAGGTCGCGCGAGCCCCTGGGAACTAGGATGGGTATATTCGAACAGCCTTGACAATGTTGGACCAACATCATGCAACAATGTTTATATATTTGCTTTAATTTAATGTAACCGCCTATTTTTCTTATCTCTTTTATGTTTGATAAGATTTATCCAATTGAAAATCTTCAAGGGTGGTAGTTTGCAGTAGCGAATTATAATTTCAGTTCAAGCAGCAAGTAGTTTTTGACCTACTCTTAGCAGTTTTTTACCTTTTCAGTAGCGAAGTAGTTGATCACTTTTCAACCGCTTTTCGCTACTTTTAAAATTTCTAATCAATGGAATAAACGCGTAAATTTACTAAAATTACACTAAACTCACTAGCAGAACGTGCAAATGTTTCGTCGAGTTTATTAAGGTTGCCTATACATATACGGTTTTCACCGCTTTAATATAGGTCTATTTATTAGCTTTCTCGCCATTCTCTGCCAAAATAAAAGAACATATGGCTGATATGTATGAATTGCAATTGTATTGTATTGCATTGTATTGAACTTTATTTAAACACGGTAGATTCATCAGGATTTACAAAAGACATTACGTACATCTATATATATTTACAGAAAATAACATGAAATAATTAAAATTACAAAATCTAAAAACGAAACAACCTGCTTTCCACGAGTGCCATGCATATGACTATATACGGAATAATATAAACATATTAAAATTTAGATAAAAAAGGTTAAGATAAAAAACTGATGCAGCCAGAGCGAAATTCACTTAGAGTTTTAACCTGTCGCAACCCAATTTGAAGGCTATTCCAAAGAACGGCACCTCTATAGCTAAAGCTATTTTTCAGGAAATTGGTGCGTGGCAATGGAATAGCAACTGAAGGCTGGACTCAATATTTCTGGGTTGATAAGTGGTAACGCTGCTGCGGTCAACAAGTCTCGAACTTAGATAATCTGGAGCAAATCCATTTAGAGCCTTGTAAACCATGACAGCTTCACCAATTTGACGTTGTAATTCAATATTTTTCCAGCCAAGGTCTTTGAATAAATTGTCAGCACTAGTGTCATAGCCAAAAAAAGTCAAAACCCGGGCTGTGCGGTTCTGCAATTTTTGAAGCTTAGTAGCGAGCGTTTTACCACGATTTCCCCACACGGTGCTGCAATAGTCAAAATGTGGCTGCAGAAGTGAGTTGAATATCAATTGCAGCGTCCTGTGGGGGAAAGTGTTCTGGTTCGTTTTGTTGCTCCAATGCCGCTGGCAATCTTTTTACACAATCGATCGATATGTTCGCTCCAGGTAAGGTTCTCATCAATAGTAACACCCAGAGAGTTACAATTTGAAACCCGTTTTAATGAGGCACCATCAATAACTAATGATGGAGATTTCTCAAAAGTTCTTAATCTCTGTCTAGAACCGAAATGGCAATTGCTAGATAGTATACTTCAAAATAAGATTTCCGTTTTTATATCAATTTTTAAAATAAGTTAGGATTAGGTTAGGGTTTAGGTTAGGGTTAGGTTAGGGTTAGGGTGAGGGTTAGTATTAGGGTTAGGTTTTAGTTTTGCGTTAGGATAGTTTTTTCTACGTTATAAAAACGGAAACCTTATTTTGAAGTATACTATCTAGCGATCACCGAAAGGTGGATAGCAAGATATTTTGTTCTAGCAAAGTTGCGAATAGTTCGCTACATTCAGGGGCGCACACTGGGAAGGGGGGGGGGGCAAAAAGTGAGTCCCAGTTTTCTTTGAGACCGTATCAAAAGTCGGTCTCGAATTTCTGCTAGGAGTTATTTAATCCACACGCCACTTCACGCCACAATTGTTTGTTGTAAAAAACAAGAAAGTCGGTCCCTGGTTATCCTAACCTGAGTATCAAGCTCTCGGTATTGAAGAGAGCCTGACACAATTCGCCTCTACGGGCTTTCCACCCCCAGAATATCAGCCAATTAAGGTTATTTCCGGTTGTAAGCATATTTCCGGTTGTCCGCTACAGGTATGTAAACTATGTATGTAAATACGCAAATTTCGTTATTTGCAGTTTTGTATAAATTTGAATAAATACGGAGAAAATATTTGCAGTTTTGTATAAAATTGAATAAATACGGAGTTTTAGAAGTTGAAGACATGGGTTTTATGTTTGCGAAGAGTTCTGCTAAACCCAGTTTGAATTTACACTTGTTGTGGCTTGGAATGCAGCCGTTGTATCAACACGTGAAAATCTGTGATTTGGTGTTGTAAACAGAGCGAGGACAATGTCTAAATTATTCATTTATTGTAATTACTCAATACTTTTCAATAATCTATTGTATTGGTAGCCGTTGCCGTCCTAAAATCGTAAGGTCTCTAATAGTTTATTCGAGACAGCTATTCGCTTCAACTGCGTCTTGACACAGCGGCTATTGTCTTCAATTTCTGCCTGATGTTGGCATATTAGGGACCGGTCATTATTTATGGAAGGGGGGGGGGAGAAAAAATAAGGGGGGGCCATATGTAGAAATAAATGACAAGAAGGGGGGGCTATTAAATTTTTTCAAGAAAATGACGGGGGGGGGGGTTGCAATTAAATTTGAAGAAATTTGCTTAATAACCTGGTATCCATTTGGTTGTAAATGTTGCAACTAAATCATGGTCACTGATGTGAAATAGTCTGGATTCATCTTGTCTTGTGTGTGCTGTATGCAAATCAGGGGATTCTGTGACGTCATATCGATCAAAGGGGGTTGTTTCATGCCTTGTGATCAGTGCTTCGGTCTGGGTATTCATTCTGCCATTGTATGCTTTGCCTAGCTGCAGCAAGTTTTGCGCTTCGATACCTTATAAAAACATTTAGTTAATTCCACCGCCCTCCGGGGCATAGCACGTTGCATGCTAAATAGCGTTAAATCCCCGCTAAATTTTGTTAATCCCCCGCTATGTCCCGGGGGTGGCAGGGGGGGGGGTGGGTCCGTGGTTTCAAATGACTGAAGCATTACAAGCTTATATTTCCTTCGGCTCAGTGAATATAAGCTTGTAATCTCCTCGCCTTCGACGACTAATTGTGAATTAGTATACACTCAACCAAAGAACAATACAAATCCAGCATTTTGATTGGCTACTCAATCACGGACCATTACGTAAGGGTCCAAGGTTGAGAAACAGAGTGCAAAAAAGAGTGCAAAATATGATCGAAAGACGTTTAATGGTAAACAGCAAATTTTAAACCGTGTTTTAATAGTACTGGGGCATTTACTCTAGTAGGCCCTTTGCTTGCCTCAGTAGTGAATCCTGATTTTCAGATGAACTGGGCCCTTTTGATAATTGGTAAAACGAATTTTTTTTCTGTGTTGGTGTAGTGTACTCAGGTGAATATGATATTTGTGGTGTTACTCTGAGTGTATATCCATACCGGGCGAGCTTGAAAAATATGCCCGGCCACGGTGGGATTCGAACCTACGACTGTAATGACGTAATAGTTACATCATGCCTTAGGAGCATGCGCAATTTTAAGATAGAAGCTAGACATGTGTTTATGCATCGAAGGAGTACTATATTACATTTGGCGACGAGGACAAAAATAATAATAAAATATGGCAAAAGCCATACCCGATTTCGAACCATTTATAGTTTATGGGAACGACACTTCGAGTTCTTCTATTGCCACTCGCTGGAAAAAATGGTTGCAACGTTTTAACAATCTTATGGTCGCTATGGATATATCGGCAAAGAAACGGAAACGTGCTTTACTTATACACTTGGCTGGATCACAAGTTTACGATATCTTTGACACATTTACCGCCGAACAGAAAGGTTCTGAGGATGATTTTGACACCGCCGTGAAATCACTTACAACTTATTTCGAGCCTAAAAAGAATACGG